CATAAATCGGTAAGATGTTATAGGCCTGCCGTAGGTAGATAAAGAACAGTACAGTAAAGGTAATAGAATACTCGAGCGTCACGACATTGCGAAGTGCCTGCTCTTGTTCGTATATCAAACTCGAGCCGAATCAATTCGAGACGGCCCGAGTGGAGTTTCATGCAAATGTTTCGTACGGGAAAAAAATCGCGTACGGGCGTGAAGCTGTCACAATAAAGGAAAACAAACACGACACTTTAAGCTGTCTCTCTTTATTCAGTCTATTTACAGTTACCGTTCTAGACTATTTGAAGATTTAATGCGATATTATCTTGCACTTTTAATTTTAAGTGTGCTTTCCTTGTTCGGTCAGCTGGTAGATTAGCATCTGTAATCACAGCGTGGTTCCACTGCAACAAACCATGCTCTCTTGTTGATAAGCTTTTCCATATGAGTAGCTGTCATTAACTCTTGTGCTATAGAGGGCGCTCTAATGTTAACAAAGATGGCTGCGCCCACGGTAATAATTAGTGAAGTATAAGTTGACCATGCTTGTTGTATTCGATAATTAATCTTGTTTACGACGATGATATTTACTGTTTCGTCATTTGTATAATATGAATATTAAGTAGATAAGTAAGATAATCACTGATTGTATGTAACTGTAATGTAGTCATGTGAATATAATGTTTAGTACTAATAAGATGATGTAAGTGATCCATAATTTCGTCATTACAGGCATTATATTGTAATGTGTTCATTTATTAGGTTATTTGCAGTGACAATATGTGCTTTATAATGAGGTTCTATTGACACGTTACCAACGAGGACAGAGCATTACAGGTATCGTTGTGAATTGAAGATAAATATATTTTTATAAGTGGTTTAAGTAAAAGCTAAACACTGTATTAAAGATTACAGTAATTTTGCAATGTTTATGTTGATTTAATTTGTAAGAAATAATGAAAATATTTTATGATAAAGAGTTAACATATGAGGATTAGATGATATAGTTCTGACGGTTGGACCAGTTTTAACATTAACACGTTTATCGGAAGATGCGTATTATGAGTTGTAACCAGGAATTGGGTTAAGGAGATAGTAACATTTGCATTATAAAGATGTTATTGATGTTAAATGATCGATTAATGATAAGATAGATGAGATCAATGTTATTGAGATTCCAATTTAATTAATTTACTTATACTTATTTTATATTTCTCTGTTATTTCAGGGGTTTTTGTTTCGTTTTAAAATTATTTTAAATTTCTGTTCAATAAACGCCTAAAACGCGTACATTGTCCAAGTTTCATTCTTTGACGTCCTCGACCCACGACAATAACGTAGTATTGTTTGTTGGGAAGGTCGTTACTACTCGCGTAGTAGCTCACCTGTCCTTAAGTTAAAACAGGAAGTCTCGGATGTCTTTGAATAAAGTTAAAAACAATTGACGCCTAGATATAGGCCTGCTTGTAGATAGCATGTTCATTATGATATAAGATATTTGGATTATTAGAGTGCTCAAAATTTAATAAAGTATTCTAAACAGCAACGGAATATTAGAAATTTTTGGAGTTTTTTTCCACGCTTTGCATGAATTGGTTGAGTAGACGCTCGTACGGTTCCTACTGATTGCGGTTTGCATGCTCTAATTAAATTGTGTCTCAAATGTACGAAAGCAAGACTGGTAAAATGCGTCTACCTCGCGAAGTTGCAAATCCTAGCAGCTAAATTTGGTACCATCATAAAGCTAAGGCTATACTGAAGATGGTGATGTAAAAATTAAAGCATGAATCCACATAAATCTAAACATTCTCTCCTACTTTTCTAAAAATAGATTTTTAAATATTTTTTTTCTGTTGTTTAAACAACGATTTATAATTGATGCAAACTTCAAATTTAAACCAAAACATATATTTGTATACCAGAAACGTGTACATTTTGAAGTAATTCCAAATTTTCTGTAAGAAAAAAAAACGTGTTTTGATATAATTCAATTATAGCATTTGAAATATTTATAGAGAAATTTCCGACATTTGTTGAAAAATACCACCCTTAAAATTCATTTAAATGTAAAATATTTTCAGGATAGATTCACCAGGGTATACCCTTCTTCAATCATGTGAAAAAAGGTGTAAAAGCCATAGTCACCAAAATGGACTTTTGGCACACTTTGACTTCGCCCTGGCCCACTGTGCATCGTAAGACCACACTAAATTTGAAAGTCCTTACATTAACAGGGCCTAGCGGGAGCTCCGACCCAAAACGTCCGTCTTCGTTGAATTCGAATTCATGACTGACGGCCCACACCTAAATATCTCTTACCGAATAACTTATCTAAATGGGTCTAAATGAAACTTTCTATATTAGTTTGTAACGGTCTAGTAAACAAATGATTACATTTTTGTGACAATCACCTCTCATTATAGCAATAAGGAAATGACTTTGTTCTGCTTTACAAACAGACATAATAAGTGTAGTTATCATCGTTATTATTATTATGATCATTATCATTATTGTCGTTATTATCATCGTCGTTGTCATCGCCGCCGTGTTGGTGGTGGTGGTGGTCGTCGTCGTCAATATTAGCAGTTAGTGTTATTATACAATAATAATAATAATAATACAAACTAGACTTACTATGTCTGTAAAACAAAGCATAAGGCTTCTCCTCATTGCCATATTGAGAACTGATGTTGGAATTAAAAGTTAAAAATCATTTAAAAAAATTATAATCTAAGAGTGCATAAATCCTCCCACATCATAATTCTCCCCTGTATACAATTCAAAATAATCTTTTCGTATTGAAAGCAAATGTATTTGAAATTGTTAGGTCTACTACCCCACTTTAAGAGTCCCCACATTCACACCCTTCACCGGAGTGTCACCAAACAGTTATGCTTTTCTTAGACCATGACAAACCCTTCAACAAATGTTAATTTTGAACCATTTGATCAGTTTTTGAAATATCTATATAGGTTTTGAACATCCCTTTTTTATTGGTGTACTAAAACTGTAGGCAAGAGGCTACTAACATATACACATACAGAGAAAATCTAATTAAAATATCGTTGACGGTAGGTAATTGTATAGTAAAACATAAAAAAGCAAGACTAAAATCATATTTAAAAAAAACATATGAATTTAAAAAAAACATAGAAACTAACTCGACGTCAGTGAAACTCGAACTGTAGCTGTATTCGTAATAGGAGAGTGATATAGACTAATAAGTAGTGCGTGAGCCGACCCTGCGTTTAACCTAGCTGCATCTGGCTAGAAACGTTTTAGAAAACGCAAATTGCGTTTATAGAAAAGTTTAACTACCCGTTAATTGGTCCTCATTCATTCAAAACCGTACTTCTAAAGACCCTGATCAACATTTTATAATTTCGTTCTTGTAACCTGCTTAAATTTTCCAGAAAGTTTCATAAAGATCAGTTGATAACAAGTTTTAGGAATATCTGGTCTGAGAGTTTCCATTTGAAAGGTGTTTAACAGTGTTTAACTGTTCCCTGCTCATATTCACAGCCTATTCTGGATCATCACCAAAGTAAGATGCAGATTTTTTAGAATGTTTATGTCATGCTAGGCCGAGCGGACCGACTGTGGGCCAGAGTAGGGGCGTGTCAAATTCTGACAGGCAGACTAGAAGCGGTCCGGCCGGCATGCAAACTCGCCTGTTTAATGGGCTTGCCACGCGAGGTCTACGATGCTAGGCCTCGTTTGGTTAGGCCACGTGGGCCGGAGTAGGAGGTATGTCATATTAGGTCTAATAATAAATGTGAAAATAATGAAAAATTTTACATGCCTTTCCTACGAATGTATTGCCCATTGAAATCAGAATGCGAATTTTTGAATTTTTAAAATATTTGTAATTATATTGGTGAAAAGGCTACAATGTACTGCACATAAAATGCAATTATTTTTGTACTACATAGTTAAGGCCTAACAGGGCGAGAGTTTGTAATCTTAGATTATCTTGTTATTATTGATATTGTTGGTACAGTGTATTGTTATTTGAATAGTATGGTAGGGTATTCGAACTCAGATCAAATACCTTACCATTAAATGCCAGAATTTTAACCTGGAATGAAAATGATAGTATGAATAGTATGTTAAGTAATGTGTATGCGGATGAAGACATCCATAAGTTTCTATGCATTGAAGAAAATATTAAACAAAAGCTATATATAATTTGATGATCATTCAAAGTCCTAACATCACAGACCAGATAATATAACTAAACTATACATTTTGAGCTGTTGAAATCTATTTCTTAGCAGAAGAATTGAAAATTTTTTTGATAGATTTCATAGAGGGCATAAAAAAGGAAATGTCGCGACGAAATAATTAACTCCATACCTTACTTTTTGTACCGCTTATTTAATGCACACTGCTCATTAATTTCTGTTTCTTTTCTGCACCGCTGTTCTTCTAATCTGTTTAAAATGTATATCTGAATATTTTTAGTTAAGTTTTTTAATTTAATGTTTTGTTTTATTTTTCCTTGGATGCACATTCCTTTTAAAAGGATGCTACTAATACAGAAGTTTGTCTCTGAATGAATGAATGAATGAATGAATGAATGACTGAATGAATGAATGAATGAACGAATGAACGAATGAACGAATGAATGAACGAATGGACAGACGGATAGATCCCATGGACCTAATTCAATTCCTGTTAGTGTTGCAGGATTTTCTCCTCACGACCAAAATAACTCCACTCCCTAAACCTCATAACTGAGATTTAGTTTGTGTAAAGTATCGTGTGTGTATGTTTGTCTTGCAAAAATAATCGTCATCTACCTGTAGAACAGTTATGTTATTCTGTATTGACAATCCTCGGTGCATGTATTGTATGCCTAAAATAAATAAAACATTGTTGTTGTTGCTATCGCTATGCTACTTTTACTGCTGCTAATGTTGTTGTAGTGCCCGATAACAATAATATGGTATTACAAAGTATTATGTATTCAGGAGCGATATTCCATATAGTATACTTACTATTTTATTTCACAGGCTACATGCACCATTACATATCAGGCCAAGTATCAGACAGGATGGTATGCTGTGGCACTGATGATTGAGGATTTTGGAAGTCCATTGTCTACTTTACCGTTGAGTCAAATACCTCTTCAATTTTTAGTAGATGTTTACAGTAATATTATGCCTTGTAGTAGTGCACCATACTTCGTTGATCCAACACCGAAAGACGGAGCATGTATCGCAGTTCCAGAAAACGAGACTTATCTTCAAGCAATTGTTGCGGACAGTGGAATGGATGGATCTGGGTTAGTAATTTTTTTAATCATAGTCATAATGGATTTTATGTAGAGAGGTAAAAATGAGATCTATAACTCTGAACATATAAAAAGTACAACATAATCGTTATTTCGTTATTAAATTTGTACGATTGATAGATTTACCTAAAGTACGGTAACAAAAGACAAAAACACCATAATATGGTTCTATTTACTGAAACATCAGGTGATACACGCACAAACTCCTATTTACAACTAAAATTTTCTGGTGTTACAAATTACATATACTAGGCCTACATTTGTTTAGATTCTAAAATATTAACAAATTTAAGGATTCATTATGGCCTTAAGAGTGCAATAAATTATTCTAAAGCATAATGTAATGTTTGAAGATATAAACATATAACTTATGTAATTATGTTATTACCAGTTATTTTTATTCTATATTTTACACATAGGATATCTGAAATTGTCACCGTCTCACCGTTTGGATTTTCAAAATCAGAAGTTGGCCAAGTGCAAAGTGATAATCGATTGTTTTACGTAAATCTAACATGGACACCTACTAAGCAACAAGAAGGAGAGAATATACTTTGCTTTACTGCTGAAAACACAGAAGGGTAAGAGAAAGTTTACAAATCAATATTAACTATGTAAAAACAATATTTAAAACAGTGGATATTTTTCCGGAACGCCTATTTTTACGCAGTATTTTCGTGATGATTATTAAGGATGCACTCAAACACAAACTATACAAAAAATACAAATTCAAATTATAGCCGGTAAAATATGCACTTTGTTTATCCAAATGCGAAACACCCAACATATAAAACTGGTGCCACTTACATGCTTTGAAATCGGAGATAGTAGCGAGGTAAATAAATAGTATATGCAGAAACACTAACCCGATAGCTTTTTTTTTTTTTTTTTGCGTCAGGAGAAATAATACGAATTGATGTTTGCCTTAGCTGACGCGTTATATTACTGAATACTCAGTACGTTCCCGGCCCAAATGCTTGCGAAAAAAAGTGATTCGGGTTGGAATCGAAATCACGACCTCCAGATAACTAGCCTGGTGTCTCCCGAATCACTTGCCAGATTTTTTAGCAAGCATTTGGAAACGTACTGAGTATTCAGTACTACATGTTAGGTAGGGAAAACATCGATTCGTATTCAGAAACACTAATTTTTTCAACTTTACAAGGTCATAAACGTTTATTTGAATAAGACTATACGCCTAGTCGTACAATATAGGAAACTGCTGCATGAATTGGTCACTATATTCATTTTGGAATGCGAACACATTGACTGATTGGACAACTAACAAAAATAATTCTAAAATTCCTCTTGTACCCTCTTAGCAGATTATGTTTGAAGAAATGTATTGCATTTCGATTTATCGTAACGGTTATGTATTATTAAAAAGCTCTTTTCAAATGTACTGTATTAACAAACCAGATTTTTGTGAAGGCCATGATGTTATTATTCGTTTAAAACAACAAAAACTGTAGAATGCGTAAAACCAATTCACACATTCTGGGGGTGTCACCGGGTTTAATACGTCACACAAACGACTCAGACGAACAAAGTTCTGGTTCTAATTCATTTATTGTTTTCTGTCTCGTGGTTTTAACTTCACTACTTTTCATCTACCTGTACGTCTAGTGACTAAAGGAATAATGAATACCATTTGTAAAAAACATTACATAAACAATTAATAAACTTGTAAATGATCATATAAAACATCGGTATCATTAATAACAACGAATCTCCAAATTAACTATAGTATATTGAATATCAAATTATAGTTCATTATTCAGATATGCATATCCTGTAAAACAATGTATGGTTTATGACCTCAGATATTAAAACTGCAGGTAATTAATACACATTTAAATAATTATAACACTTATCATGGTATAACAAATAATCATTAAATCGAATATGATTAATAAGATGCTTACGTGACTGTGGCCGCTCTAGACCGGATAACTCGACTACTCAAGTCTACAATGAAAGCTTGTGCCTTTCCTACTATAAATCATACCTGTAGGATAAATATCTCACCGTAAAGATTATTCGAAAAGCAAGAGCAAGCTGATATAAACCAGCACAAACTTATAAACATAGCAATGAATATTAATAAAATATAAGATAAAACATAACCAAAATAATATAGATCTCAACAACAAGTTGAAGATCGTCACACTACGCCAAACTCATGGGCGCCGCCATATTGTTTACATGTGGTACACATAATGCTCGTTAAGGCCAACTCAGACAGCGTCGTACGACGCAGCCCGACCCGATTTATCGTCGGGGACAGTCTTAAGCCGTCGTGAGAAATATTAAACACGTTTAATATTCTACTACGCGACTGCCCCCGACGCACACCATCGCGTCTGCGTTCAACTCACACAGACTCGACGCGACAACAAATCGCGTCGGGCTGCGTCGGCCGACGCTGTCTGAGTTGGCCTTTACACGATGCACCGTATTATGTAACATTAGATAAACTTATGATTAAATTGAACAAAGGAGCATCACTTTACCTACACGGTAATACTGTACTAATAATATAGTTTCAAGACTTTAAATCTGTAAGTAATACGATGTCATCCACTGCTACGTTCTCCCTTGGTGTTTTCCACTTATGTCGCTTCTGTAGCAAAGGAAGGTATTCTTTTTTCCAGCGTGACCAAAACAAGGATGCTAGATACTGCACCTGCAGCCATCTTCTTTTTCCATATGTCTCTACATTGCCTACAGGGGCGCTTGAACCCTGTCTTATTAGAAGCAAGTGATTTGGGGTTAAAGGTTTATCATCATTTGGGTTAGATGAAATATCTGTTAAGGGTCTGGAGTTAAGAATGTCTTCGGCCTCAACTAACACGGTGTGCAACACTTTTGATTGACTGTTGCCTTAAAATACTAAACAAGATTCTCCTAACCGATCGAATAAGTCGCTCCTCCAAAATGGCTAGCAGAAGGGGGATTAAAGATCCATTCACATCCACGTGTATGTAAAGTTTCTTCCATAAGGCTTTGATTCATTTTGGCCAATGCTTCTCTCAGCTCCCGTTCACCCGCTACAAAGTTTGTACCATTATCGCTAAAGATCTTTTCGGGATCTCCTCTTCTGGCAACAAACCTACGATAAGCATTGATGAAAGAGTCTGTATCGACTGTGTCGGCTACTTCAAAGTGTACCGCTCTTGTTAGCAGACAAGTAAATATACACCCATAACGTTTAACCTTAGAACGACCCTGTTTAACTTCAATCGGACCAAAGTAGTCTAATCCAGTAAAGGTAAATGGCGGTTTGTCTGCTGTTACTCGCTCTTCCGGCAATGAGGCCATCAACTGTTGCACTAGTCTTGCATGGTGTTTCCTGCAAGTAACACAATCCTTTAGAAGTCCTTTGACTGCAGACTTACCTATTATTATACAATATCTCTCACGGAGAGTGTTTAAAGTTGCAGACCATCCTTTGTGCCCTGCGCCTTCATGATAGTGTTCTATAAGCAGCCTAGCTACATTTAATCGGTGAGGGAGAATTACTGGATGTTTGGCTTCAAAGTTTATTTGAGAGTTATCTAACCTACCTTCCACTCTAAGGAGATTCCCTAGAAGAATGGGTCTTAAAGTTTTGAGTCTAGAATCTTGTTGCCAATTCGGAAATGATCGTCTCTGTTTCCATGACAAAATCATGTTTTCACTTTCCTTGATTTCCGAGACGAGCAAATTGCTTGTTACTGTAGGTCGCTTTTGTACCCTATCCTTAATGGAATTTCTAAATCTTAAAATCCAGCCTAGAATTCTAACTAATCTTGCCCATCGAGAACACTTACCTACCAGGTTTGCTATCAGGTCTTCTTCGAGATTTACCTGATTAGTAGTTATTTGATAAATAACTAAGGACCTTTTGGCTTCTGGATCTGTAGACATATCTACATCGTCAAACTTAGATGCGGGCCAGTGGGAAGGATTTTTGATTAGGATCTCTGGACCATTTAGCCACTTACTCATAAAGTATGTTCCACGTGATCCTTCGTCAGCTGGGTTGTCTTTACTACCTACGTGCCTCCATTGTTCAGGTTTAGACACGCTGCGGATCCTGGCTATCCTGTTGGCAACAAACGTTTTAAATCGCCTATCTTCGTTCCTTATGTAGTTAATAACTATCATCGAGTCGCTCCAAAAGGTCGACTCACCTAAGGCGTAACTCAATTCTCTCCTGACTGTGCTGTCGAGGGTTGCCGCTAGTTAAGGGAGTCACCCTGGCCTTCCCAACAACATACTCACACGATATATCGCCATTAGATGACTGTGTTCTAAGGTACGCTACAGCCGCGTATCCCTTTTCGGACGCATCACAGAAGATGTGGAGCTGACTATCCACCGCACTGTCCAGTTTCAACCATCGTTTTACTCTAACCTCAGAAAGGCATGACACATGATTGAGCCATTCTTGCCATCTTCTAGCCTTATCGTCCGTCAGTGGTTCGTCCCAGTTTCCCCTCTTTTACAGACTTCTTGCAAAAGAGATCTGGCCACTAATACTAAAGGAGCCGCAAAGCCTAGCGGGTCGTAAATCGAACTTGTCACTGAGAGCAATCCTCTCCTGTTAGTTGGCTTTTCCCTGAGCGACGTCTGGAATGTAAATTGGTCTTCTTCAGCATTCCAGCACACACCTAGAGTCCGTTCTGTTGGCAATTCATCTAAAGAAATTAGTACAGAAGGAGCTCGTTCAGACTTTCTATGCTATCTAATACCGACCTGTCATTGCTTAACCACTTGGTTAAGCGAAATCCACCCTTGTCGAGAATCTCAACAAGTCTCTTAACTGTAGGATAAATATCCCACCGTAAAGATTATTCGAAATTCAACATACTGTAAAAACAAGAGCAAGTTGATATAAACCAGCACAAACTTATAAACATAGCAATGAACATTAATAAAATATAAGATAAAACATAACAAAAATAATATAGATCTCAACAACAAGTTGAAGATCGTCACACTACGCCAAACTCATGGGCGCCGCCATATTGTTTACATGTCGCCGCCATATTGTTTACATGTTCGATGACAACGAACAAGTCATCGACCGTGACTAGGCTTATCAGAAACACGTGGTACACATAATGCTCGTTACATGATGCACCGTATTATGTAACATTAGATAAACTTATGATTAAATTGAACAAAGGAGCATCACTTTACCTACACGGTAATACTGTACTAATAATACAGTTTCAAGACTTTAAATTAAACACGTTTATGTATAAATCACAAGTTGTTTTCAGTTAATATTTCGTGAGTTAAATCACTCATTTGGTAGGCCTATATGGTATTCCGAATTACACAAAGATGATGCAGTTTACATTAACAAATCATCATACATTAAAATCATAGTTTTATATATTCTTTCTTAACAACTTAATCTGAAATAACATTGGTTTAAACTAATTAACGATAAAGAACGTTTTAAAATACAAATAAGAACTCACCAATGATCAACAAAGGTACAATCTTAGTGACTCTACTGAGAGCACTATAATACGAGACGTCCTTCGCCTCCAACATACCAGCACAGACTCTGGCGTTTCTTAAACCTTATCACCCTTAACCCACCTCAAATGTGCCCAAGATAAAAATGCGCTAAGTGCCTAATAACAACAGGGCGCGAAAGACCCTGTATCCGACCGCGGTTAAAGATAGTTTAGTTGACAGAACATAGCGGGCGGGCAAAAAAGAAAGAATAGCGATAAAGCGCAAACAAAAACCCCATACCCTAATGTACTGACCCCAAAAAGGCTTTATAAAAGCCAAAGTTGTGTACTGCAGGCCTAGTTGTGTCAGGTTGGCTTTGGCCCTAAGACAGATTCAGGTTGTTTTGGCCAGGCCTGAATCATTTTGTCCACAGTTGTTTTGGGCGTTTTAGGCTTCTGTATCATGTTTTTAGTTTCAAATTTATTTGGGTTCGATTATCGTATTATATTTTTTTCTTGCTGAGTTCGAAGCATGAATAAAATGTACTATTCCTTTTCTCATGGGCGCAGATCATGGGGGAGGACGGGGACATGTCGTCCCCCCCCCCACCATCTTTATGGTGTGTGCCCCCCCACCCACACACACTTTTTGGCGGCAATGTGATTTTTAAGCCAAAGAGATGCCTGAAAATCGTTGAAATGAACTGCATAAATGACCCAGGTTCTAACGAAAGAGCCCTGTACAGCCATTCAGTTCAGAGTAGGCCTACATCTTATTTCATAGCAACATACCGGTGGTATCTCTGCCCAACATCTGAATTACCTATTACGTTATAAGAACGCTATAATAATGTTACAGTTTGGTTATAAAAACGTTATTTTGTAGAACCATATGTAGGTACCTAAAACCGAAAGGTCCACTGATTAATCTCAGATAAGAAAGTATAATACATACTCCAAGTATTGAAATACACGCCATCGTGTTGGGATTCAATATTTCGACATTAATTATGTCATCAT